AGGTTCTGGTTCTGGTTCAGCTTTAGGTTCAGGTTCTGGTTCTGGTTCTGGTTCAGCCCAGTGAGCCACTGGGATTTATCTGCAGATCCAGTTCAGTGTTTTCAGCTCAGATGATCTTATCTGTCAGCATCCATGATGGTGTCACTGGTTTCCAGTTCAGGGAAGAAAAACAGCTGAAGACAGAGAAAGGCAGAGAAAGACAGAGAAAGGCAGAGAAAGGCATACAGAGAAAGGCAGAGAAAGACAGAGAAAGGCAGAGAAAGGCAGCCGTCACTGTGAAGCAGCAGCTCAAGAAGAAACTAATTTACACATTTAAAACTCCGTTTGATGGAGAAACAGACAGAAATAACGGATAAAAACTAAATATTTGTTTTATTTTGGGTAACAAAACGAAGCTGAAGTCCTAAAATTCTTCAGCGACTAGAGAAGCAGAAACTGAAAGAGATGAAGCAGCAGGTGAGTTTGATCCAAATAAGTCAAACTTTACCTGAAGCTGGACAGAGTGATGCGTTTAGGAGACCAAACATCTGTGGGAAAAACAGCAACTCTAGTCAAACTTCCTGTAGAAGGAAAAGTCCGACATCCATTCATGTCCTGGAAGTGAAAATGTTTCTGAAATGTTTAAATCTAAATCGCATCCATTCAACTGAAGAACCTCATGATCATGTTGAGACAAACATGTTTTCATTTCCCTGATAAAGTTTCAGATGTTTCATTAAGCTCCGTCCTCCCGTCTCGTCCTGCAGCGGCCTCCCGCTGTGAGTGCGGCGGCCGGGCGCGGCTCTGCCAGCGGGACGCCTGGGGTCTGCGCTGCCTGGACTGTCAGGGAAACACGGAGGGTCGGCACTGCGAGCGCTGCAAGGACGGATTCTACCAGCAGGGGGCGCGGCTGAGCTGCACGCCCTGCAGCTGCAACCCCGCAGGTGAGGACGCGCCTGTCCGAGTGACGTCATCCAGTCAGGAAAAGTCTGACCGGGTTTTCTGTCTGCAGGATCTGTTAGCAACACGTGTGACAGCAGGGGGCGCTGCAGCTGTAAGGACGGCGTCTCTGGAGACAAATGTGACCTTTGCCCCGACGGCCCGATGGGAGCGGACGGCTGCAGGAGGAGGTGACGTCATCAGGCAGCAGCTGTTTTCATTTAAATCTTCAGATTTTCTTTACGTTTCTCATATTTTTACTTTCATCAGAATAAAAACAACTAAAATACTTTTTATGTTTCAGATCAGATTCAGCTGCTCACAGAACTTCAAATTGTTTTAATGCTAAAAATTCAAAGTCATAATAAAAAAACCCAAAATCATCAATAACAGAATCTTAAAAACTAATTAATGTTTTTCCTTCTGTTGTAAATCTTCTGATGTATAATTAGAAGTTTTTGGATTCTTATAATAAGTAGATTATGAATTCTAAACAGTAAAACAGAAAAATATCCAACAGGTTAAAGAAAGAAAAAGGGAAAGTCGGGGATTTGTTGTCCAGCCAGAACTGAAGCATCATTTTAATAAATGTTTTAATACATTTCAGCTCCAGATGTTTGGCAGGTTTATGTTTCCTGTTGACCAACTTTCATCGTTTCAGTCGCAGTTTTTCTCCAGGAGTTTCTCTCAGTTTCTGTTTCACCTCAAACTTCCTGCTGGTTGTTTTCCAGGCGCCAGGAAAGAGAGGATTCTGGGAGTTTGACTCTGCCGTGTTTCTGTTACGGACACAGTGAGCGATGTTCTGCTCGGCCTGGTTTCTCCGTCCACAACGTCTCCTCCACCTTCAGCTCAGGTAACAGGAACAGAAGCCGGTTCTGGGTCACCAGGTGGTTCTGTTCCAGCTAACCCAACCTGCCGGGTTTCAGGTCCGGACGGCTGGACGGTGGCGACGGTCCAGCGCACGACTCCTCAGGACGTTCTGTTCCGCTGGTCGCCCAAACACCAGGACCTGGAGGTCATCTCCAAACAAAGCCTGCCCACTTACCTGTACGCACCAGGTGAGACAAGCTCCGCCTCCCTGTCTCCTCTCGTCTCCTCCCGTCTCCTCTGACCCGGGTTTCCCGCCCTGCAGACGCTTACCTGGGGAACAAGCTGCTGAGTTACGGCCAGAACTTGTCCTTCTCGCTGCGTTTGGACCGCGGCGTTCGCCACCCGTCCACCAGCGACGTCGTCCTGGAGGGCGGCGGCCTGAGAGTGGCTGCGGCGCTGGGGGACCTGAGGGCCGTCGTCCCCTGTGGGAAGAAGATCAGCTACACCTTCAGGTCAGGAAATGACATCACTCTGATCCTCCAGGTGTGTTTAACGCCTCATTAGCTTCCTGATGCCTCCAACATGAGCTCCGGATTAACTCAATCCAGAGAAGTGAAACATTCCTGACGGTTCAACGTGTGGAAACCTGCAGAAACTCCTGTTTGTTTATTTTAGCTTTACTAGCATAAAACATGAACGTAAAACTGGAGGAAACTTCAGACTTAAACTGTCCAACATCCGAGTGAAGACATGGAGAACGGACTGGGTGTTTCTGATCAGTTTTACCAGAGCAGCTCAGAAACGTTTCCTCAGGTTTTCTGTTTTCCTTCAGGCTGGATGAGAAGAGCAGCAGCAAGTGGAAACCTCAGCTTTCCTCATTCGAGTTCCAGAAGCTTCTCCAGAACCTGACGGCCATAAAGATCCGGGCCACGTTCGGAGAGGATGGTGAGACGGTTCTCCACTCTGCTTCAGGGTTTTAATGTCGTTCTGTGCTGAGATGTTCCAGATGTGTCACATAAACACATCACCACTGTGTTCAGCAGAACTTCATCCTGCTGATGTTTGAATCTTTTAAAGCATATTGACATCCAGTATTGATCTGTTTTCACCTTCATTTCTTGATGTTTGTCTGTTTAAATGAACATGAGAGAAAAGTTGGAATCACTCTGTATGCTGATGACTCTTTATTTATGTTTCTCTTGTCCAAAGTTACAGTTAGACCCAGGTTCACTGTAGAAAATGTGACAGACTATCAAAGACCATCTGTTCCTTTAATCAACATCAGAAATGGCCTATTTAAAGTATTAGAAGAAGCACCACATGAAAATCAGTTTCTTCTGTTTGCTGTGGTTTGCTCACTGATTGGTCCTTTCCTTCAGGACGCGGTTACCTTGACGACGTGAACCTGGTTTCGGCTTGGCGTGGGGACGGCGTGGCGGCCGGCTGGGTCCAGACCTGCACATGTCCACCAGGATACGAGGGCGACTTCTGTGAGCGCTGCTCGGCCGGGTTCCGGCGCCGGGCGCCGTCATCCGGGGCCTTCAGCGCCTGTGAGCCGTGCAGCTGCAGGGGGGGCAGCTGCGACCCCCAGACCGGAGACTGCTACTCCGCCGACGAGACGCCCGGCGAGCGGAGCTGCTCCGAGGGCTTCTACAGAGACCAGCAGGGGAGCTGCGAGCGCTGCCCCTGCCCGGACAGGACGTCCTGCTCCCTGCAGGCCGGAGCGCTGGAGCCTCAGTGCCTCCGCTGTCCGCCGGGAACCTTTGGTGAGTCCAGAACGATCCCGTCACCGAGGGAACCGGAACCTGCTCAGCGTGGCAGGTTGAGACGTCAGTAATGTAAATGTTTGGCGTCTCCTCAGGGTTTTACTGCGACACCTGTCGGGAGGGTTTCTATGGCGACCCCGCAGGCCTGCGAGGCGCGCAGCGACCCTGCAGACCCTGCAGCTGCAACGGCCACATCGACGTCAACGCGGCGGGAAGCTGCGACCGCTCCAGCGGAGAATGCCTGAGGTGTCTGAACAACACGACGGGTCGGTTCTGTGAGAGCTGCCTGCCCCGGTTCTACCGCGACCCGTCCGGCACCGCCTGCAAACGTGAGGACAGAGTCCAGCTTCACCTGCAGGATGAAACCAGTCAGGATCTGATCTGAGAAATGTTTCCCTCCGCAGCCTGCAGCTGCAACATCCTGGGCTCAGAGGACGGCCAGTGCGACGCGGCCGGCCGGTGCCGCTGCCGACCCGGTTTCCAGGGTCCGAGGTGCGACCGGCCCGACTGCCCCACCTGCTTCACCCCCATCAGGAAGAAGGTAGCCGCTGCTGAAGAGCTGCTTTACTCCAGCGCCCCCTGCTGGACGGAAGCTGCAGCTTGTTTGCTTCAGGAAAGTTAAAGAAAAGATTTTAGCTGCATAAGGATTAATAAACTAAAGCAGGTTTCAAACTAAACCAAAGGCTTGAATTATTAACATTTTATGTTCTAATTATTCTGGAAGAAAATGTTTCTGCAAAAACAATATTTTAGTTAAAATGTTGCATTTATTTCAGTCTAAACCTGAAACATGAAAGGTTATGAACTGGTCCTGTTATTATAAATAATCATTTATTTGTTGTAATGTTGAAGGACCTGCTGCTTCAGATGTGACAGAAATCAGCAGTTTTTTGTTTTTCCTGATATTTTATGGCTTCTTACCTGAAAACAACAAACTGTTGTAGAGTCTGATGCAGCTTTAGTTAGTGTAACACAGATTTCATTTTAAATTTATTTTCTTCTGCATTGAAAGTCAAATTGACCAAATATTTGGGTCATTTTTAAATTTCTATGCAGATTTTCTCCTAAATGCTTCAGAGTGTTTCAGCTGCAGGTTGGATTCGTTCTCACGTCTGTTTCTGTGCTTCAGATGGAGCTTTACTCCATCAAACTGAAGGAGCTGGAGCTCCTGTTCTCTGAACCGGGTCGGGTTCCGACCAACCGGGCCGAGATGGAGGCGGCTCTGAGAGCGATGGAGGGTCTGATGAAGAACCTGCAGCAGGACGCCGAGCAGCTGACGGGTCAGAACCCGACACGTTTCCTCCTTCTGACATGAAACTTTCACATCAGACTCCTGGTTTATTTGACTGTTTCCAGCTTTTTATTGATCATTTTAAAAATAATCACTAAACAACCTCAGACCTTAAATTTGGTCTGTTTGATTCATCAACATTTTTCTTTTTCTTTCTAAATCTATTTTTTTTCTTGAACAAAATTAATATCATGTGAAAGTTTTTTTTTTCTAAATAAAATCCCAAATGCACCAAATTCATAAAAATGTGAATAAAGCATCATAACAGGAAACTGGTTCATATTTCCAAACTGGACCTTATTTTGGTTTTAGTGGCCTCTAGTGGAGATTCCAGGTACTGCATCTGAATAAGTTAATTTAGTTGTTGGTGAAATGAAA